AATATATTGTATTGATTTTTTACAGAGAGGAAGGGAGAGAGATAGAGAGTCAGAAACATTGATGAGAGAGAAACATCGATCAGCTGCCTCCTGCACATCTCCCACTGGGGATGCGCCCGCAACCCAGGTACATGCCCTCGACCGGAATCGAAGCTGGGACCTTTCAGTCCCCAGGCCGACGCTCTATCCACTGAGCCAAACAAGTCTCGGCATGCATTTTTATTTTGTTAAAGCTCTTTAAAACATTAATTTTAATAACATTATGTTAATAACTACATAATATTGTTAAAATATATATACTAAAATTTATTCTTCCATTTCTTGTTTTTGCATAGGCAAGTTATTCTTATTTTTCCATATTATAAATGGCATATGATAATCATTTTTTTAAAGAATATATTTTTATTGATTTCAGAGAGGAAGGGAGACGGAGAGTGAGATAGAAACATCAATGATGAGAGACAATCACTGATTGGTTGCCTCCTGCACACCCCCTATTGGGGATAGCGCCCACAACCTGGGCATGTGCCCTTGACTGGAATCGTACCTGGGCCCCTTCAGTCCCCAGGCCGATGCTCTATCCACTGAGCCAAACCGGTTAGGGCAAAAACAATTTTTTTAATTTGTTGTTTTGAGAGACAGAGAGAGAAACATTAGTTCATTGTCCCACTTATTCATGCATCCATTGGTTGATTCTTGTATGTGCCCTGACTGGGGATTGGACCCAAAACCTTGGCGTATCGGGAAGATGTTCTAACCAACTGAGCCACCCGGCCAGGGCTCAAACGTAGGAAAGGATAGAGAGCCTGGTGCCAGAGTGCTGCATGGAGGTGGAGGGCCTGATGGGTAGACTGTCAGAGAGGGCTGCTGAGGGACTGTATATGAAAGCAGGTCAGATGAAGGGAGGACAGATCTGTCGTTTCTTATCCAAAATGCTTGGGACCAGAAACAATTTGGCTTTCAGAAGCTGATGCTTTCAGATAGATTGTATTCTACGTGTATTATGTAACATCACCATCAGGGGCAGGGCAGGAACCTGTAATATCTCTGCAGAAAAATATATGACTATTTCCACTAAACGCTATCATTAAAAAGCATAAATAGCTTCAAAGTTCAGATCAGAATTAGTTCAGAAAAGTCAGTTTGCTGTCAAATTGCTTATGAAAAAAACTCAAGAGCTTCTTGGGTTTTGGAGTTAGGCTGAAGAATGGTGGACCTATGTCATCATTAAGGTGAATCATTTATTCTCAAACTATTTTCAATGAGAGCTGAAACATTTCCTTTCAAAAAAATTTACTATTTTTTTTAAAACTTGTTCTTAAAAGATCACCCCGGAAGCTTACGAGAAGCTGGGCTTTCCTGGAGCGGAGGAAATGGCCAACATGTTTCGTTTCTATCAGATGAAGCCAGCCCGTGATGTCAAGCTCACCCACCGACTAAACCCCGAAGTCAAAAGCTTCAGCCAGTTTGTCTCAGAGAACAAGGAAGCCTTGATGGGCATTTAACTGTTCACCACAGGCACCTGACAGCTTTCTTTTTCCCTGATTCTGGCCCTCTGTACAGCGCATGCCCATTTACAGACATATATGTTAGAATGCAATAGTTTGCAACTCCAAAGGCGTCCCTGAAATTCTCTCTTAAGTAGGACACATGGAAATGGTGATGGACACAGTGATTTGATTCCCATATAACTTTCCAGCTAGTGATAAGGATGGTACACCTGTTAAGTGAGAAGCCCCAAACCTGGCACCTTCTGTAGCCCTGTCTCCCCAACAGCCAAGTCTTCTTCCCTAACATGAATGGGGGGTGGCCACTCAGCCTTCTCCTGCCTAACTCATCCAGGGCCCTGGCACTGAACCGCTCCTTGGCAGCTCCAGATCCCCCCACCTCCAAGTGCATTGTCACATTCTCAGTGAACTAAGTAATTTTCATTTCTTTAAAAAAATATATTTTTTATTGATTTCAGAGAGGAAGGGAGAGGGAGAAAGAGATAGAAACATCAATGATGAAAATCATCTATCGGCTGCCCCCTGCACACCCCATACTGGGGACTGAGCCTGCAACCTGGGCATATGCCTTGACCAGGAATTGAACCATGACCTCCTGGTTCATAAGTCAGTGCTCAACCACTGAGCCACTTTGGTGGGGCTAATTTCATAAAACAAAACAAAAACACTCACAACAAAGCTTGGTAGATAACTTTCTGGGGCGGGGGCAAGGGGAACATGGTGTTCAATGAACAAGCACAAGTATTAAAAACTCTAAAATTCAGTTTTGTTCAGGGTTGAAAGTTAACGTTCTCTGATGCACTCATTAAATCATCTATTGAATCATCACTCAATTACTGTATTTATCTATTCATTCTTCTGTCTTTCATTTAAGCCAAGGGTGGGAAACCTTTTTTTCTGCCAAGGGCCATTGGATATTTAGAACATCATCTGTGGGCCATACAAAATTAACAACTTAAAAATTAGCTGCTATATTCAATCAAACATTCAATTAACTGGCTCCTGATGCCTTCGCAGGGCCAGACCAGATGACTCCGTGGGCCCTGTACGGCCCTTGGGCTGGATGTTTTCCACCACTGATTTAGGCATTCCTCAAACTTTATTTTTGGCACCAGTACTGATGGTGAATTGGAACTTCTCTCCCCTCCTATGTGCTTTCCTTTTTTTTTTAAAAAAATCCTCATCCGAGGGTATTTTTTCCATGGATTTCTAGAGTGCGTGGAAGGGTCAGAGGAATAGGCGGGAGAGAGGAGAAACATCGATGTGTGAGAGACACATCAATTGGCTGCCTCCCACACATTCCTCCACTGGGGCTGGGGAACTTGCAACCTAGGTAGGTGCCCTTGACCAGAAATCAAACCCAGGACCCTTCAGTCTGTAGGCTGATGCTCTAACCACTGAGAAAAAATGGCCAGGGCCAATGTGCTTTCTTATTGGAGTGGTCCATGTTCCAAAGCCTACCATGGCTCCTTTTCAGTTTGTGGTTGGCTTTGCATCATGCTAGGGCAAGGGGGCTCTCTAATCATGTAGCTCCAAGTCAAACCCAGAGGCTCTGCAGTGGATGAAGGCAGGAGCTTGAGGCAAGGGCTGGGGAAAGGTAGGGAAGTGGAAAGAGGAGGTGATGGAAGGGCCCCCATAGTATTGTATATCTCTGGCTTAGCATTTCTACGCCTCATTTACTAGTCTTCCTCTTGGCTGTGAGTGACTGGCACTCCTTTATATCCTGGTACTTGGCACATGATTTGTGATCAATAAATGTTGGTTATCTAAATTTCATTTATTGATCACAAATCATGTGCCAAAACTTTATTCAAATTTTGGTTTGAATAAAGCTAATTGGTCATATCATTGCAAGAAAGGGAAATAAACAGGTGTCTAGGTTGGAGAGTGGTAAGAACCAGCAAGTGGTACTTAAAGGCCAGAGGTTGTCCACTTCTGGGGGAGGCAGGCAGGCAGTGACGGGTGTTGGGAACGGCTGAGCAAAGATGCGGTGCCTATGCGTCTGACTCAGAAGAGAAGGAGCCTTGGAGATGCCAAATATCAGCCTTTGGGTCTTTCAAGGTATCAAATCGTATGTTTGTGTTGAATGAAATATGTTGAACTTATTGCATTTTGATTCTTGAAGGGAAATTGCAGTCCAAGTGCATTTGAAGACCACTCTACTTTTCAGACTGCTCTCTGTTTACAGAGAGCAGAAAATTCACTGCAGCTCAAGCTCTCAACCCTGGGAAAAGGGTCTGGATAAATTTCTAAAAAGGGAAAAGCAAAACAAAACCCTAAACCAAAAATAGGTGTTTTATTACTCATCTGGGTGGGCCAGGCAAGAGGAATGGCTGCTGTCTCCTAAATAGACCTCAGTATCCCTGAACTGGCGAGTGCCTGCAGGTCACAGGGCCTCCTGGGTGGCTGGCTGGTTCTTTCGGCCTTTGGAACAAGGCTGGGGTAGCCCTAGGCCAGTCCTGCCATTGTTCCTACAAAGCACAAGAAGATCTTTCGGGATCTGGAAGCGAACCTACAGTACCCACCTGAGATGAGACAGTGTCTTTTAGGGGCCTGGTTTGCATCCCCACCTCACTTGACCAATAAGAGGAAAGAAAGAACAGGGAACATTAGCCTAAAACATTTTATATTTGTTGCCTGTAGACAAGGGACTTCCCCACCATCCTCTCCTCTCCCCCACGGACACTCTCCAGGCTTAGGGAGAGAAAAGCTTCCTTTTGGAGTTGCTCTCTTGGGGACTCAAGAGAGGCACAGAGGGTGGAAACGAGGCTGTGAGCCACTGCGAACAAAACCACCCTCTGTTGACCACAGGGAATGGGTTGGGTGGGGGTGGAGGTGATGGCACAGAAGGGATGCAGGAGGAGATCGCTCTCTCTCTCTGTGGTTCTAGAAGTGTTCCTGGAAACCCAACTCTACAGGCCTAGGGAGAGAAAAGCTTCCTTTTGGAGTTGCTCAGAGTAGACACTTGGGGACTCAAGAGAGGCACAGAGGGTGGAAATGAGGCTGTGAGCCACTGCGAACAAAACCACCCTCTGTTGACCACAGGGAATGGGTTGGGTGGGGGTGGAGGTGCTGGCACAGAAGGGATGCAGGAGGAAATCTTTCTCTGTGGTTCTAGAAGTGTTCCTGGAAACCCAAGCCATGAAGTCAGACCATGCTGGATGTGATTCCTGACACACCACTGACTGGCCACCCGAGTTCTGAGGTGCCCACGGGCTGCTCCAGGTCTCCCTCACCCCACCTGCTCACCCACTGGCCTCAGGACTGCAAGTTCCTTGTGCCCTGACTGCCCTCTGCTGGTGGTCTGGTCCCTGCCCTTCTTCCTTTGCCTGCCACTAGATGGCAGGACAAACCTAGTGTGAGAAAGGGTCCCTCTAACCCAGTGGTTCCCAACCTGTTTTTGGCCACGCCCCACCTAAGCATCTCTAAAATCCTGATGGCCCCTCATGACATATAATTCTTATTATTCAAAAAGTGAACTCCTTGGTGCACATCACAGCCCTCAGTCTCTCTCAGGCTCTCTCATCACCTCCTTGGTCATTTCAGCGAACATATGCTGGGCACCTTCCCTATGCCTGGCACTACAGCACTGGCCTGACTCATGGTAGAGGGTGGGCCTCAGGCCGAAGGTAAACCTTCTGTTGAAACAGGGCCTTAACCCCCTGCCCTGGGAGCAGAGGAGCACAGGAGCGAGGGCAGAGCGTGGTGTGGGCACTCCTACACTGGCTTCTCCACCATCATCCTCTCTTCCGCCCAGGGGACCCTTCAAACTCTGGAGTCCCATCAGGACTGCACAAGGGGCAGAGGCAAATTCCCCAAAAGGAATTTGGGGCACTGTTAGGAAAAGGAAGTGAATGCTGGACAGGCCCCAAGGTCTACTCTCCAAAGTAGGTGTTCTTTGGCAATGGAGTCCACTGCTGGACTCCTCGCAGAAGCGAACAGAAGGCAATCGCATGAATTTAACACATCCCAGAGGATACGTTTTTATAGCATTTCTGAAGGGCTACGCAGCAATCTGTTCCAAGAGGATTAAAAATGTGCACACGCTTACCTGGCAACACTACCTCTAGGAAGTTATTTTAAGTAAATAAACACAAATATAAAAAAATAAATAAAATTTCCAGGATTTTATATGGAAGTGTTGTTCATGAGAGTAAAACAATGGAAGTAAGCTAACTGTTCAGCATTTAAGAAATGGATAATTAAATTGTTGAGTAGTTTTAAAACTCCCTTAAATTTTAAAATTTTGAAACTATTATTTGTAAAGAATTTTTACTAAAAAAAGAGCACTGTTTGTGTTTTAAGTGAAAAATGTTGGATGTCAAATAACATTATATCTGGCTTATTAATTCCAATTGTGTAAAGTATACATGCACATGGTGAAATATTGAGAGGAAAAGCACCAAGATGTTACTAGTGGTTTTCAGTGAAAAATGAAATTTTGGTTGATCTCTATTTTCTCCTTGTAAGTTTCCCCTTTTATGCAGCTTTCCATAACTACAATGGTAATTAGATGTTTAATTTTATGTAAAAAAGTTACTTTTATAATTTAACAGATATCACAGATTGTCCTAATTCTTCCCTTTGTTGTGACAACTATAATAATTGTTACTTATGAGTGTTCGCTGTGTACCAACCATCGTGCTCAGAGCTGTACAGTGGGGCCTTGACTTAAGAGTGTTCCGACTAACGAGTTTTTTGAGATATCAGCTGTCTCTCGGCTGATTTTTTGCATTGAGTTGATAGAATAATTTGAGTTAATGAGATCCTTAACGAACTCCTTAATGAGCTCGGTCTCGGAACGAATTAAACTCGTAAGTCAAGGCCCCACTGTATATGCAATCTTTCACTAAATCTTTGTACCAACACCATAAACAAGTTCATCTCCTTATTTTGCAGATAAAGAAACATACATTGTAAGTTTTAGTAACTTACCCAAAGTTACCAATCAGTAGGTGGCAAAGCCAGAATTGAAGTTCACATCTGAATGTCTCTAAAGTTCGTGAGCTTCCCACCATAAGGGAACTTTGGTCAGTGCAGTTCTCAGGTTACGAAAAGCCTGGGTTGTCAAATTCATTCAGAATTCAGTTGTTTGGAATTTGGGACATATTTTCTCTTAGAAACACTGTAGAGATGAGACTCCAACCCACATAAAGATCAACCCTCCAAAAACTGGTGAAGCCACATCTACTCACATGCTATGAAATCACAACTTTCGATAAGATGTTTCCTGCAAACCTTTTCCCAGATACACACAGAGAATAACGAAACTGATGTTCGGGTGAGGACAGGCAGTATTTGGGCAAGTCACAAGGAGGAAAAGAAAGCATAGCCAAGAGGTGCCTCAGGGTACAGGCCAAAGCCAAGGGGTCTGAATGGCTGGCTGGAATGCATCAGGATGGGGGAGGGGGCTGTGTATAGAGGCCCTTCATGGAACCCTGGGAGATCATTGGGTGTCAAATCTAAAGGTTTTCAAGAGCCAGGAAA